GCAATAATAATAAAAGTACGGTTATGAAAGAAACGAGACTCAGGAGAATTCTGCGAACGAATGAACCAGACCGGAAAATCATGAAAAGGGGCGTTTGGTGGGCAGATAACTCTCGACGTTCGAAGAACAATTTTGTTTGTGTTTATTGTGTACATCATGTGAGCCTTTCGTGCTGCTATTATTGCCTTTCTAAAGTTCCAATTTCCTGTCGGCACAGACACTGTAGCAATCTCTGTGAGACATCAAATAAAAACAAAAAGGCGTTACTGTGTCTGTTCTACAAGTCGATGTGTTCCTGTGTTTATGGCCTAAAAATCGTTCCGGAAACTTTTCACTCTGAGTCTGCCTGTGTTGAGAAACTTGAAAGGACACACTCAGAAGAAGATTTAGATCTAGGCCCTAACTTCCACTAGAAAATCTAGATCTCTTGTCTAGATCTAATCTAGATTCTAGATCTATATATCTAAATCTAGGTCTAGACTAACATTGATTGAATGTTTTTTTGTGAAAGTTGTAGCGGCTAACAACATACAGATATGGCTGACTTTTTAGCTGAAAATAACCAATGTGGGCAGAATCTCTTGCGGCTGGTTTCTCGTGGCAATGCTATCATCGCTGAGCTGTTACGTCTCGCAGATTTTGTCCCTCCAGTTTTTCGTCTTGAGACCAGAGCAGATCAAGCAAGATATGGGGATATACTGTCAGACTTCAGTTACTTCAACAGTGCAGATTATTTTGACAATAAAATAGAATCTAGAGTGGTAAGTTTGTGATTGATAAAGTTTCAGTTTCAAGGACTATCCACCCGTCTAAGAAATGGGCGGGGGCTCTCGTGGTATAGATGCAGTGTTCACTATTCATATGATGTCAATAGGTCCTGGGTTCAAAACCTGACAGCGACGGAAAATTATCTGCTCTTAAACAAATTTCTCCTTTCACGCACCTTTCCTGCTCTCCATTCATGTTCTGTCATCTGCTTTCATCTCCTCTTTCTGCCCCTCCCACCCTATCCCCCCTTTTCCCCTCCTCTGGGCTCTTGAATCTTTCTGCTGCCTTTCTATGTCTGCTTTTCCTTGGCTCCTTCTTACTTTTGTCTTTTAGCCACTCCCCTGATCTTAGAGGGTAGGAAGATCTAGTCCCTAGCCTTCTCGGGTAACGGCGAAAAAATCTCAGTGGTCCAGTATTACATGTGTGTTTGCTAATTGCAGGCGAAATTCAAAATTAATTCCTACCAAACTAAAAATGTATGTTTTCTGCGCTTTCATATTGTGATCTTTATCAGATAGTTACAAAAAAAAGAAAAGAAAAAGAAATGGGCTTAAATATTAATTAAATTAGTACCACAAATAAAGAAGATATATATATACTAGCTGGGCCCCCTTTCAATGAACGGATGG